GGGTTGGCAGGCAAGGCACCAGTTATTCTCCTTTTAATTCTTATTTCAAGAAATTTGTGATGCTGTTTCATGTTCTAAATATAGACTATCTGCCAGCTGACATTTCTCCATGATCAGTCTCATCATATTAGCTGCTGTGTTTTTCTCTCCAGAGTTCTACTTTATTATTATTTTCTTAGTATAAATGAAAGGTCAGGCAATACTTCACATATTGCATCATAGCATTGGTCCTGGAAGAATCTTTGAAAAAATAACATCTAAAGATATTGGCTGAAATAGAACAAAAGCATCTCAAAAACATTTTTTTTTTGTCTGGTTGAGGAAGGCAAATAGGAGAATTTTAAATTGGTGATTTACTATCTTCTTTGTGCAACCCTATCCGTGAAAGATCATTTCCCTGCAGATCAGACCCTGAGAACTGTGCAGGAGGCACTGGCTGGTTGTTTGGCCACCGTTCCTAAACCCAGGGAACTCTGTGCTACCATCTAGTGGCAGACCTCAGCCACTGCAGCCTGGCTGCAGGATTCCTGTTTGAACTTGGCTGTGTGGCTGGACCTGTGGTTTGGCTCGAATTCTTACAGAGCTGTGTTGCCAGCCTTGTAGACTTTTTCTTTTTTACTCCTTATATCCCCCTTTTATTGTTGCATGTTGGCACTTCATTTCATGTGCCTCCAGAGGCTATGTTTTGGGTTTTGATATGTTTAGTCATTTGGAAAGGAGGCAATAATGCAAACATGCCTTTGACAACAGGTAAATCACAACCTGGCAGATCCTAGAAAGTGATAAACATGGGAGACAGAGCTGGAGAATGAAAAATGTGATGAGGTTTATTACTGTTATGTACTAGTTGGGTCAGGTTTTTAGAGATTATTCTGATATTTTTCTTCAGTGCATTTTTTGCCACCATTTCTGTTGCTTAGATTTGGGTGGATTCAAACTCAACTGCAATCTTGGGGAAAATTTGTTTGAGGATGCCAGCCTGGCTTTCAAAGGTGTGCCAGGCTCAGTTGCCTATCAGTATCCCAAACTGTACAGTTTCCCTCGTTACCAGAAAACAGCTGGTGTTTGTAGACCTTTCTGTGGTTGATGGTGACACAGCTCCTTGGAGTTAGTCTGCTCTTGTTGGAGAGCTCATTTCACATCTATGGAACCACCCGGAAAGCACTAATGTCCCTTGAGCCTCAGGATGGGGTCATTGTTTTGTTCTTGCTTGTATCCTGAATGCCTGAGAAGTTGCAAAGGGCATCATTTAAACACTTGCCTTTCGAGTCCGACAGACCTCCATTTGTGTTCTACATCTGCTTCTTGTATGACCTTGGACAAGGTTTTTAACCTTGGTTTCTCATCTGTAAAATGGGGATGATGTGGAATTTTTTTTTTGTGTGTGTGTGTGTGTGTGTGAAATAATGCATGTAAAATTCTTAGCACAGAGCATGGTACATAGAAAGTATGACTCTGTATCAGAAAATATTTCTTAAATGAAAAAGTGGACACTTGATGCACATGGGGATGAGTTCCAATAGAGATGGACTCCTGAAGGTGTGGCTCTGTGTGTACAATTTCTCACCAGAACCACTGGCTTGAAGACCGGTGTTTTAGTCTTTTGGCAAAATCAGGGAAAGTACAGTGAGTGGTGTTAATTACCTATGCTTGAGTCTACTCTGGTGCTGGACTCAATTAAGGAGATGGAGGAATCAGCCTCTAACCAGTGATTCTCTGTACTTTTTCTTTCTTACTTCGAGGGCCTGGGATTCTAAGCATGTGCTCCACATCTATGCCAACCAGGCACCAGGGAAATGCTCAGATAGGGCAGCTCTGCGCCAATGTGACCTTTGGTGGAATATAAAAAACTCCAAGTATTACTATTAGAAGGTGGAGAAAAGCCCACTAAAGCTACCGCTAAGGTTTAGGTTTGCTCTGTCCGTGTGTGTGTGTGTGTGTGTGTGTGTGTGTGTGTACAAAAAAAATTCCAGATGTGAATCTACAAACCATCTGGTTGGAATAATTTTGTGCTGGGCTGTAATTACAAGCTATTTATTATGAATCCTGGGATCCTGTTAGGGATTTTGACTGGCTCCCAGGTTTCTAATTCAGCTCAGAGTTCCCATATTTAAGAGAATTTGTATCTTCCTAGTTGTCAGACCCTGCGTTATGACTTCATATCCACTCTGACTGCTTTGAACTCCTCGTGTCTGAGGATTTTTCTTTTCAGAGAGGAGATGCTTTTAGGAGTTGGCCTTGAAGAGATGAGCTTTGGGGACAGCCCTTCCCTAAGGCTGCAGCCAGGTCTGTTAGCCTAACACTGCAGTAACAGATACCTCTCTTGGGAAGGGTGTCACTGCACAGCCACCTTGGAGTGTGGGGATTTGGTACCCAACTATGGTTTTCAGGGACTGAACTTCGCCAAATGGCATCACCACTAATAATGCCAAACAGCACATATACCTGACCATTGTTCTTGCTCACTTTGGTGGTAGTGCAATGACACACTTAATTTTTAAAAATATGCCTCTTTGATTTGGGTTGTGACCATAACTATATATTAATATTTGCAATTTGAGAAAAATTCTGAGAATAAATCGAAAGGTCATGGCTGATAGTGAGTCTGGTACCACCATCACTGTGAGGAAGAGAGGGTGAGGGAGGGGCTTTGAAGAACTTAGATTCGGGACACCTGAGTCCAGGTTGTAGGGCTGTCATTCACTGAGAGCCTGTGGACAGCTCCTGGGACCCACTTAGCTTCACAGAGCAGTGGTTCTCAGCCCAGGCTACATCCTGGAATCATCTGGGGAGCTGGGAGAAACATCTAGGCCTTAGTAGACGCAAAAAAGATGAAGAAAGAAATATCAGCAGTACCAGCCCTGTGGGAGTGGGGACAGTGGCTGGGGACTGGTGTCCTCTCTCTGGGTGACTCTGCCATAGTGGGGACGGTGGCTGAGGGCTGGCGTCCTCTCTCTGGGTGGCCCTGAGGGAGTGGGGACAGTGGCTGAGGACTGGTATCCCTCTCACTGGGTGACCCTAATGGAGTGGGGACAGTGGCTGAACACTGGTGTCCTCTCTCTGGGTGACTCTGCCATAGTGGGGACTGTGGCTGAGGGCTGGTGTCCTCTCTCTGGGTGACCCTGAGGGAGTGGGGACGGTGGCTGAGGACTGGTATCCTCTCACTGGGTGACCCTAATGGGGTGGGGACAGTGGCTGGACACTGGTGTCCTCTCTGAGTGACTCTGCCATAGTGGGGACAGTGGCCGAGGATTGGTGTCCTCTCTCTGGGTGGTTGGGCAGGTCCCAGATGGCCTCATCGGTATGTTTACTACATTGGTCTCAGGGTCCCTTGCCTGACATGAGGGTCACTTTCTTTGTGTGTCCTTTAGTGGAAAAGTGTGAGCAATGCTGGCCATGGCAGGTGTGTTAATGGCTAGTGGCCTTGAAAAGCCATTAGGTTAGTGAAGTAACCAGACTGCTGTGGACATAGAGCTGTCGGGAGAGTGAGGCCCAATCATCCTGGGCCCCATATCCTCCATTCTGGGGGACGGTAATCGGTGAGTTGGTGGGAGCAGGTTCTGGGACTCTTGGAGGTTATGATCACTTGAAAGGGGAGGGCTTTACAATCTGGATTCATGTTAGAGTTAGTCCCTGGAGCATGCAGGGAGTTTCTGGAACTCCCAGGGAATTTGTGGGCTGCACAGAGGCAATGTGTGTTATTTTAGAACTGCTTTCGCTCTGATCTTTGGTGTACAGGCTTGGCTTGGACCAACCAACATGAACACACACACTTACAGACACATACACCACACAGTGCCTTAGTCCTGGACCAGAGAAGGTTAAGACCTTCCTTATCCTCCTGACACCTGACACTGAAGCATCCTGGGTACCCTTGTGAATCTTCCCAAGCTCATTGTCAGGGCTGAGTCAGGATTTCTCTTGCACATATTCCAAGAGGGTTTCAGGTTCATCTCAAGGTGAAAGAACTGGTCAGTCCTTTCTCTCTGATCTGCCCCCAAATCAACCAATGAATGTGTATTACCACCCTTCACTCAGGGTAGGGCGTGGGTATGCACACATTTGTGAGTTCAACTTGAAATCCTCCTCAACCAAAGCAGGGCTGTGAAATTGTGGAAGCATCATATACCTTTTGTGAGCAGCAGTCTTCTTGTTTGTAAACTCAGGTTAGTGAAATACTTATCCCAAAAGTTGTAATCAGAATGAAAGCCACAGCACCTAGCATATAGAAGACACCTGTTAAAGCTCAAATCTTGTTGAAGTTCTGTGACATAGTATTTTCTGTTCATGTGCATCCAGTCTGTGTACAAACAGGCATATACATGATGTTTGAATCTTCTCTAAGACATTTTAACAGCTAACCTTTCAGGATAAAACCAAAGATACAAATGCTCACCACATTTTCATTAGCATTAAGTGCTAATATAACACAGCTGTCCCATGGCTATAAAACACTGACAACTGTGTCTCTGCTTGGTATGGGGAATAATTTTTTTCTATTACTTAGCTGATTCAATACTCAACTCTGTCATTATTTGAGTTGGAACTTCAGATTGCTGCATTTTAATGCATTCTACTGTTAAGGATTGTTGGACAGCTATGCACAAATATTTTTGTTCTCATGATGCAGTCCTGGCCCAGGTAGCCCAATGGGCAAAATACAATTTACACAAATATTATGATTTCTATAATGTGTACTAAAAAGAAACCTTAGAACAGAGTGGGACAAAGCTTCTCTCTTGGCATTTGGTTATCTAGGTTCAGTTGGTTTGTAAAGAAGGGACATTTCATCCTTTCTCATCTGCCCCTAATCTCAAAAAGTCCTATGTTTCTGGATGGATATTTCTGTTCCAGAGAGAGCAAGATCCTATTTGCTATCCTAGAGTTTTCTTGAAATGATGAAAGCAAGATAGGAGGTTAGGAAAACCTTAGCCATATGTCAGGGTTCTGGGGATTCTGTTTGAAGTTTATTTGAAACATCTCTTTTCTCTTTTTCCTAGAACAAGGAAGTGACCTGCAGGAGAGAGAAGTGCCCGGCGCTGTCCAGAGACTGCGCCCTGGCTATCAAGCAGAGGGGAGCCTGTTGCGAGCGGTGCAAAGGTGATTTATGTCTTGGCTGCCTTCTCTTTTGGCTGTTGCTTCAGACATTTTTCTTTCCTTTTCTCTCACCTTTCTCTTCACCCAGCTCTTGGCTGGGGTGCCACTGGTTGTTGGGAGGAAGGCTGGTCTGTGTGTTGGGGAGGTCGGTAGTAAGGGGCACTCTCCTGGTGGAGGAAGGAAAGCGTGGCCAGCATCTACATACTTGGTTTATTTTCTAAGGCAAGTTGCTAACATGTCAAAGAGAAGATGTAAACACGATGCCCGTGCATGTCCGCACACACGCACACTGCATATTTTGTCAAGAAGTCTCAACACTCAGTTTTTCCAGGCTCTTTGCTCACCCCGCCCACCTCTGCCAGAGGAGTCTTTAAGCCCGAATTTTATCATTTTGGTCCCTATTAAATTTTTTTCTTTCCTTCCAAATTAAATCTTAGTTCCTCCATTTGTTTTTGAAGTAGTCCAAAATATCCTCACCCCACACTCTTTCCCTGTGGCCGTGCAGTGACATGCTCTGTCTAGGACACGCTGTTCCTTGTCCTGCCTCTGAGCCTTCGTTCAGGTCTTTCCTCCCAGCCTGTCCAGGGACCTCCTGTGCTCCAGAGCCCCGCCCTAATTCACCCCTGCCCCGTGAAGTCTCTACAGCATATGGAAGCTCACACGGATGCTTGTCCTCCTTTGTGACCTCATTTGTGTGCAGTGAGTCAGCTTTTTGAGGACAGGAGCCAGACTGTGCTCTGACATCACCTCGTGTGTGTGTAAACAGCTTAGCAGAGTGGGTGCCTCACAGGGCAGCATGAACAGCGTGGTTCAGGATGTGGGTTCCTGTCCCGCCGCCAAGTCTGAATCCAGCAGCCCTGGGCTGCGGAGTGTTCCTCAAAAGTGCACGCCCACTAGGAACCTCAGAATATGACCTTCTTTGGAAATAAGAATCTTCAGAGATGTAATTAGTTAAGATAAGGTCATACTGACCCCCAGTATGATATCACTGCTGTCTATTAAAGAGGAGAAGACAGACAGACACAACGGAGAACATGGACATGTTGCAAGATTGTGTATATAAACACTTGGACTCTGTTCCCTGAGATTTATATTCAGTTGTCCTTGGGAGGAGGCATCTGCTTTTTAAAAAGCTCCCAGATGCAATGCATGGCCTGGGTGGGGAAACCACTGAACTAGACCTTGATGTAGTACCATGGGATTTCTGTCATTTCTGTCCCCTCAGAAAGAATATATATATACTTTTCTTTTTGGAGTTGGGAGTGGCCTGAAAGAACCACGAAGAAGAGCTCTATGGAAACCAGTTGAAAATGAAAGCCTGATTTTAACTCATCAGTTTGTATATTCACTAGAGATCGTGACAACTTTTCAAAACACACTATTATATAAAATCCACATTTCAAGTATTAACGCCAAACTTCTTAACAACTATAGTTATTACAAGAAACCATAATAATTGTTTAAAAACTAGAAAAAAAAACACCCGAGAGGCAGAGATTGGAGTTGTGCTGCCGCACGCCAGGGGCGCCTACCGCTGCCAGGAGCCAGGCCCAGGCAAAGAGGAAATCTTCCCTAGAGCTGTGGAGGAGCCTGGCCCTGCCAACACGACGTTGGACTTCTAGTCTGCATAACTGTGAGAGAATGAATCAGTTAGGCTACCAAGCTCATGGTGATTTGTATGGCAGTCCCAGGAACCTGATTTACCAACATCTCCACTTGAGCAGGTGGAGACATGGGGCCTTTCTCTATCCCACTTCCCTCCCTTGTGAAAGAGGATAATAGTTGTGTTGGCGCAATCAAATGGGATGGTACATTCAAAGTGCTAGCACTGTACCTGGCGTGTAAACATTTCTCAATTAATGTAAGCATGGTTACCGCTCTTTAAATACTTGATGGACTGACTGTGCCAACATACTCTCTAAAGGCTTTTGGAGCAGGAGCCGATCGGCTGGAATATCTTTTCAGAACCTTCTGAATCAACCATTTACTTATCATCTTTTTTTTACAGAGTTCGGAGTCAGCTGTTTTACCCATATGACTTCTGAGAGCTATCAGTGCAAAGCCCGAGAAAGTAATTTATTAGGACTCTCCCAAGTAGATGATCAGATAAAGTAATTACAATGAAAAACACATTAGTGTATCTAAGTCATCTGACCTTAAGGAATCCTTCTCCATTTCATTCTTTATTTTTTAAACTGCTTATTTGCTATCTTCTTTCAATCATTAGCAAGGTTTCCTTGCCAGTGTGAGGTCAGTTGGATACTACAGAATGAAAGCAGAATGAAAGTCAAGCGCACGTTACCTGTGATACGGAGGGAAGTTCCTGCTGCTGTAATGTGTGACCTTTCCTCCTTGTCCTGCTGTTTCCTTCATCACCATTCTTTCCTTTGATTGTCCTAGGAAAGGAGACCCCCAAGACAGATAGGTTTCCTGAGTATTCTTTGTGAGCTTAAGAAGTCAAGATTCTTTAAATTAAAAAGGACCCAATAATAGAACTGATTTTCTTTCTGATAGTAAGGTTAAGTCAAAAGGCCCAGCCTGCCTCCTATGCCCTCTTCATAGGAGAGACTTCTGAAAGGACCTGATGTCTTAGGCTTTGGGGTTAAGAATGTGAAAGACGCCCCCTTCATTTTCTCCATTTCAGCTCCATAACTTCATGTTTACCCTGTGGGTTTTAAGGGACATGGTTGTATTTGCTCTTAGCTACTGGCTTATATATATCTGATTAGAATAGTAACATATGCTCAAAGAAGAAGCTTTGGCAAATAGTGTAAATCGCTGGAAAGCAATAAATAAATTACTCATAATCCCACCACCTAAAGGTAACAACTGTGAATATTTGGTGTATCTCTTTCTGAATATTTTCCCATGTAGAAGTGTTTACCTGGTTGATGTCCTCTAACTCCTGTTGCGTTAGTTTTTAAAAACTTTCCACTTAACATCAGGGCATAATATCTTCTCAACTTATTTGGAACTATTGTCCCTAATGGTACATAAGATTCTGTTGTGGGACTGCACCAACATCCTTGGATCATTCTCCATTTCTGGGCATTTAGGTGGTGCTCTGGATTCTAGCACTGGGCAAGGATAAACACAAGAAGCTGAAGCCAAAGAGCATGTAGTAAAGGAATTAGGACCAGACAGAAGGAATAAAGGGAGCATTACCTGGGTAGAGAGTAGATATTACTGTTAACCCAGAGATACTCTGCATTTAGCCTTCCAGGGAATGTGATTAAACCTCTCCTTCACCTGTTCACACATGGGAAGAGCTGCCATCACAGCAAATTCTTAGTGTGTGGCAGAAATTCTGTGACATGACAACAGCTGCATCTTTCCTAAGTGCTCTCTCAACAGGCATCCTCCATGCTGACACCCGGGGTTTTCACTTTTCCTATTCAAAGAGAGTGATTCAGTGAGGGATTGTATTCATGAGAAGTGTGTTGATAATACCTTACTTTAGGGCAGAATGCTGTTTAGGCAAAATTGTCTCAGGGTCAAAATGTTTTGATCAGATTAGGGAATAATTTATAATGGGTTTTTCTTAGCAAAGAAATGGAGCCTCTTGTTTTTTAGGTCAGTTAACACATGGTAACTGGAGAGCCGATGGACTTAATTTTCCTATTTTGAAAGGCATTTACATTCAGAGGTACCACTTTATTTTTGAGGTGCTCACCAGGCAGATCAGGCAACACTGGTCAGGCCTCTTGTAGAGGTGAGCACGGCATGACTCAACCTGGTTGAATGGGTGGAGGGTGTGGGTCTACCAGTGTCCACAGTGGAGACAGCCCTTCTGGATGAACCTTCCTACCATTAGCAAGTGTGTGGAAAGGTGAAGTCTAGTGTTACTAACTGCACGAAGCAATAGTGAAAGCTGGATAGTTGCTTTGAGCTCCCTTTGAATATTGCTTTTTTATTATCCTTTCTCTTACCTGAGGGAATCGTGAGTATACATAGTATTTCTCAAAGTGCAGTGGCCCACAGACTAACCTGTTAGAATGCAGCTTGCTGGGCCTTGCCTAATAACAACAGTAACCGAGGTCATAATCCTCTTTATCGAAATGACAGCAGCTAGTATAGTTAGTCCTTACTCAGAGCCAGGCACTAAACTCAGTGCAGGCAGTACTGTCAGAGCCCCAATTTACAGGTGGAAGAATTGGTAGCACTAAGAGGTTTGCTAACTTGCCCAAGTCGCAGAACTAGCACATGACAGAGATGGGGACAGACTATGGTCTCTCCAGTAGGCTTGCGAGCTTGCTGCCTCAGTGGCTCTGGACCGAGGTCCCTGGGCACATGTTCAGGGCTCCACTGGACTCTCATGGGGGCTGAAGCTTGTTTACCTGCTGCCAGATAAATAAAGGAAGGGAGAAGGTGGGCCTTCTTGATGAAGGAATGAGAACCACACCTTTTAGAGGCTATTGGTCTATAGATGCTCTAGTGAACGCATCTTTGAGGTGAGAAATCTCTTTGCCTTTTATAGCTGTGAGGCCATGGTGTTTCTTTGACCCTATGTTTTCCTCCTGCTTTGAAAATCTTGTATCACTAGAATCACTAGAATGGTATAGGAAATAAAGCAAAATAGATAATGACCAAGAAACACTTCAGATGTTGACGTGCTGGTGAATGCTTATCAAAATTTGCCTAGTTTTTCGATTGTGTAAGTGAGTAGGTGGGGGTGGGGCACTCAAGCGCAGGACTGGTTAAGCACCGCCCATCATTTGTTGGGCCTTTTTTCTCCCCCTTCTGACTTCTCCGTCTTCCTTCTTCCCTTCCTTACCACAATTATTTTTAATTTTAACTGTATGTATGTATGTATGTGTGCCCATGTATTATGTTCCTTAAGGACAGCAACTTGGAAGTCAAAAGTGCTGTCTGGGGAAGTTTGCTCCTGTTACATTGTCATGGACATTACTTAGTGGCCTTGGAACAAGGCAAGGCTAGTGTCAGTTCCTATTCCCTTGAGGGTTTTTAAGCCCTTCCCTACTAAAAGATGATGGGAAAGAGGA